TCTATGTTCCAGGTTATACTTCTAATTCACTCACACTCACACACACACACACACACACACCCTACACATACATATGTTGTTTTCTGAATTTTCTACAGTCTATGAATTACGTACATTCTGTACACATTGACTGTAATAAACACACACACACAATCATTCCTACACACACATACATTTTTTTCTGAATTTTCTACAGTCTATGAACTAGGTACATTCTGTACATATTGACTAAATGTTGCCTCACACATTACAATCCATTAGGAAGACATAAATACCAGTCATGATGATACATATAGGGAGCATAGAAAGTTGTGCATTACTGAGTCAGATTACTGCTCTGTCTAGTCACTGCCATCTGCTTTGACAACTCATACTTCACTCCTCTCTAGAGCCAACAGCTGGAAGAGAAAGCCAGACAAAGGTTGCTTTACTGGCTACATCTTGAAGTATCTATTGGGTACACAGCAAACCCACACAGGAGTCTGTGTCTCTTGTCTCCCAAATCTGATTGGAAGAAGTAAAAACACATTGCAGATAATTCTTGACTTACGAGAAAATTTCTATTGCTAAGCAAGGCAGTTGTTAAATGAGTTTTTCCCCCATTTACAACCTTTTATGCCACAGTTGTTAAGCAAATCACTGCAGTTGTTAAGTGAATCATGCTGTTCTGACCCAAACACAACAAAAGCCTCTGAAGTTAACTCAAAGATTCCTTTATTAGGAGTGCCAGCAGCCCCAGCAAAAAGTTTCTCTCTCACCACAGACTAACAAGTCCATCCGGCTGGGAGATGAATAGTTGTCTGGCACATCAATTCATCTCCACCCCCTNTTATAAATATGAGCATGATAGCGTAGAATAATCATATCCAAGGACCAGTGGTGGGTTTCAAAAAATTTTGGAACCTCTTCTGTAAGTGTGGCCTGCTTTCCGGGTCCACTGGTGGAACCTCTTCTAACCGGTTCGGTAGATTTGATGAACCGGTTCTACCGAATAGGTGCGAACTGGTAGGAACCCACCTCTGTACTGTAGGTACTTCAGATGTTGGAATGCATGGTAGACTTATGAAGCAGTTAAAATTATGAATACAATTATATAGTGTTACAAAAAAATAAAGATTAATGCTGAGGAAAAAAACAGAACTATTTTTATTAGTATTTATGGACAGTGGATTAGGAAAAATGCATGGAAGATTCATTTTATATATGGTAACTGCAGCAAAATTATAAGCACAGTGATGAAGAATTCCCACAATGGAGGAAAGGACTATGGCAGAAATGGCAAAAAACAAAAACCCAAAAAACCCCTTTTTAGCCAGGGAGGAAATGGTAAGTACTTTTCTGGGCTTTTTGCTGAAATTAGAGAAAAGCAAAGTGACAATTTATGGATTTAATGACTGAAAAATAATATGCAGGTGAAGGGATTTTTGTAAAGTTGGAAAGGAAAGGTAGCTAGTCAGTTTGTTAATTTCTGTTGCAAAGAAAATCAGAAGTCACTTATTTTTGTTTCTTTAGATATTTTTCTTTTTCTTCATATCTTTTCTTTTTCTTTTATTCTTTCCTTTTTTTCATTTAGATTTGTCTTATTGTTTAAAAAATTGTCATTTTTAAAATTTATATATATATATTATATATCCATGCCAGAGCAGGGTATATTAATATCATAATCCCAATATCTGGGATAACTTTTCAAAATGGCCAATTTTTACATTTAAGAATGAATTCTAATCCTTCTGCTAGATTAAGTAGAAATTCTATTAAGCATTGTTCTTAATATGAAGTGAAAAAATGTGGTTCGCCTATCACATCCAAAATAATATCTGTAGCTTAAAAGTACAAAATAATCCATCTGTCACTGATTTATGAGATCACAATCCTTTAAACCATATACGTGTTTTCCTGATGCAATCTCCAAGTTTCAGCTACTCCTAAAAAGCCTTCTGAAATGTAGAAAATCATAAGATGTCCACTTTCAGTGTCTTAAGCCAAATGGTTAGGAATTGTATTAGTCATGAGTTTACCTATTTGTTAACATGGTACCAGTTGTTAATATCAGAATGTTTGAATTAAGAATCAAATTAATGAAATCCTCAACTTACGGACCACAATTGACCACAATTCCAGTCATTAAATGACTTACCATGTGACTGGGCCCGATTTTTGCAGCAGTCATTAAGTGAATCCATTGTCTGCAATGGGTGATTTTTGCTAGAAACCAGAAGTAGACACCAGTTTTCAGTAAAAACCATTGTAAATGGCAGTCATGTGAACACAGGACACTGGAAAGAACTATGAATGTGGACTGGTTGCTGAGCATCCAAAATGTGATCACATGTTGGGGTAGGGAGCAGCTGTTGGAACTTTGAATCTGGATTATAAATCATCCTGGGAAGTCCATGGTAACTTCAAATGGTCGCTAGGCAATCAGTTATAAATCAATAAAATAAGATTTATATAGCTAAAACATTCTGAGGGATGTTTGACCTGGTTGTGGTTGAACTTTGAACACATAGAAGCTTACGTTTTTCTTGTGTGCAGAGACCTCTGCTTGTAATTTCCTCTGTTCTGTAATTAATAAGCCACTGGAGTGGGTATACTTAAATAACCCCTTCTTGTAAATTGTAACCTCAGCAAAGAATATGATTTAACGGAGAATAACAATTTGCTTACATGAATTGATAAAATGCATTTCATTGTGATATCCTTGTTTGCTTGGCAAGAATGAGCATGGAAGTTCTCAGTCAGCCTCTTGATATTTGAGACCTCTGGCCAAAGGCCACTGATGAGAGAAAAGTCATAAGGAAATGAAAGAGAAGACTTTCAGAGAAGGAGCAGTTGGCCAAAATTGGGTTTTTTGGTATATAATATTACTATAAATTAGTTTTCAAATACATCTTAGCAACAACGGCAGAATTATTTGATTTGTCCTATTCTTGGTTTCAGACTTCTCCCATGTACATCCCGCATACTCAGTGTCTATCAGAACAATCATTTTGGCCAAGCTACAGATATTTTAAATCCTCACTGTTTATTGCTATAGAATAATTGTGCCCCTTCTCCTTAAACTAATTAACATCAAGTTGCTAATTTCAATAGCCAAGTAAGGGGGAGAAATCATATAAATAGCAATAGCATTTAGACTTATATACTGCTTCATAGTGCTTTACAGCACTCTCTGTGTGGTTTACAGAATCAGCATGTGGTCCGCAACAATCTGGGGACCTCGGAAGGATGGAAGGCTGAGTCAACCTTGGGCTAGTGACACTCGAACTACTGGCAATCAGCAGAATTAGCCTGCAATATTACATTCTAGCCACTGCGCCACCCTGGCTCTAAGCATACTGTATTTTTCGGACTATAAGATGCACCGGAGTATAAGATGCACCATTATTTTGAAGAGGTAAATTTTTTAAAAACGTTTTTGCACTCTGCAGACTTCCCAAACCCTCTGCATGCCTCGTTTGGTGAAAGAAAGAAAAAAGACAGAGGGCATGCAGACCTTTGGAAGGCTTTTAGAGTGCTCCAATGAGTTGGGGGGGGGGGCAAAACCAGCAAAAAATGGCTCGTTTTTCGCAACAAAAAAAGGGCATGCAGAGGGTTTCGGAGGCTTGTAGAGTGCTCCTGGGGGCTGGAGGGCAAAAACTTTTTTTGCTCATTTTTGCCCTCCCCAGCCCCCAGGAGCACTTTGCAAGCCTCCCAAACCTTCTGCACGTCCATTTTTACAAAGGGGACAGGATTTCGGGAGGCCAAAAATGCTGTATTCAGTGTATAAGACACACCCAGATTTTCACCCTCTTTTTTGGAGGGGAAAAGATGTGTGTTATACTCCGAAAAATACGGCAAGCTGCACAGAAATGGCACCTATTAATTACTACTTAAAATCTGTCCTGTGTTAAAAAGAATTAGAAACTTTAAATGCTGACAAGGCAATAGTGATTTTCTACTGCAAAATGTTGCTAATGGTCTTCTGAGATCCTTATTTTCACACAAATCCCTTTGTCACATAAAGGTGCTATTTGTAATATGCAGGATGATGAAAATAAAAACCCCAAATAATATATTTCAGTATTAGGCCACATGATTTATTCAGTAGTGTTTATGCTTCCAAATTACAATTTATGTCTATCCATGTAAGACTACAAAAGTTACCATTAGAATTGTCTGTGCTTATAAAATATCAACATTTCTTTGTTTTAATGTTATATATTCATTAACACCAGTCTGCAACAAGTTACATAGAATCATAGGCACTTCAAAGGCTTTAAAAGACATTTACTTTAAATGCTTAAAAAAAAGAACAAAGGATTCAGATTCATTTTGAATTCCATCTCGTACCTTCAAATTGAAATTAATAAAAAAAAATGGCCAAATAAATTTTGCAGCAACCCCTTGCAATACTGTTAAGAGTCTTTGGGTTTATATAGGCTTGTCAGTAGCTTACTGAAAGATCTCCTATAAAGATTTGTTTTATAAAGGGAAGTTGTAGTAGTCCAATTTTACACATTAATTTTCCGCTTTAAATTTCAATCAAGCTACAGAAACCATTGAGAAACCAACGGGTAAAATTACTTTCTGACAATAAAATGTATACAAAATGGAGGTTAAGGTTTACATAGCTGAAAAAATACATTTACACTAAGAGTTACATTATCTGAATTATATGAACACAAATTGCACTAGGACAACTACAAAAAGGCATTTTATTTTTAATTTTGGAAAACAGATAAATTAATGAAATAAAAACTAACTTGTGAGAGTCATCAGACATGCTGACAAAATTAAACAACTTCCATTGAACCATCAGATAAAACAATCATTTCCACTTATGCATAATTTTTTTGTAAATAATTCGGTGAACATCAACGGCTATATAAAATCATACGTTGCCACTGCTATTCACAGAATACTGCAAAATGTTAAGATTTTATTTTACATTTTTTAAAAGGAATACATGAAAAGTTTTAAATACAATGGGATCTCTTTTTTTTTCTTATCATAAAGGTGCCATAAAGGCTCTTTAATGAAAAAAAAGTTCTTCATTATTCTAGGCCAAAAAAAAAAAAAGCTTTATTTAAAAAGTTCAGTGATCTCTGAAATAGAGACACTACGTTTAGAGTTTTATGCATAAAACTCTTTAGTGGGTGCCTTCTGATAGGCAGCGCTGGAGGGTTTACGCTCCCCGAGGTCGTAACTCCCTTCGTCCTTCTTTCTCATGCGGTACACCAAAAGCAAGATAAGGAAGATTGCAAAAAGAAAGCCAATGATTCCACCAGCAATAACCGCTGTAAACAAGAAGAAAAAAAGTTCCACTCAATTCCATTAAGTTACTTTTAACCGTGCAAAGTCTATCCTTGAGAGAAAATGGGAATTTGACTTTTCATAAGTGCTTTATTGTAACAACAACATGACTGACTATAACAACTTAAAATGAACATATCCTTGGATTTAGTAACTTAGATCATAAAATGGGGATGTGAGGGAAATCATAGCATTTTCTGGAGAGAACAGTATCCAATGTTTCTTGACAGCTCAGTGTTAATCATCATCACTTTTAAGTCCTGCCAAGTTCAAAATGATTTATTTTTTGGCGGCTGTATTTAGCATTGCAGCCTAAGAAGCAACATTAAAGAGTGTGTTTGAATCTTATACTTGAGATTCTCCTTCTCTTGGGTACAATCCTGCACAGGTAAAGAATATTTACTTTTTTCCCAGGTTATCACTCAAGTTGTCCTCTTAGTGTTTTAATATTATCAAGATGTAAGGAAAGGTAGTTTCACTCTAAAGTAGCAGCCTTACGTCTTATGGGGGCTCTCTATCATATAGATCATGATTGTCCCAAAGGTGCTTTTCTTTTTTCAAGAGGCAGCCAATTTTTGGATCTTTGCTGTGCATGCGCAGGGGGAAAACGGGGTGCAGCGCCCCCTTCCCCACAGCCCGTTTTTGCTCCCAAGAGGTTGCAGGGAGGCCTATTAGGCCCAAAAGCAGGAAAGGGGGTCATGCACATATGCGTGGGGGGCGGGGGAGCCCAGAGGGGCACATGCATTGCATTATGGGCGCGGGCACAAGCACACTTTTGGCATGTGACAACAAAAAGGTTAGCCATCACTGGCCTATAGCAATAGGTTGCAAGAACCCATCAGGAAATGTAGACATTTTTGTGGGCTTTTTCTAAAACTAAAACTATATTGATGCATGGCCCTTACCTGCCAGAACCTCTGTTCTCTGAAAAAGGTTCTCTGAATGTTTCCGAGTAAATACATCAGTATCTTCAATTGGCTCATTTTGAGCATTTCTGTTTTCTGCATCAGGCTTAAGCATTTTTTTATCAATCTCCTCAGGTGACTGTGAGAAAAAGAAGAACACCAAATCAATACAGACCAATAAAATACAGAAACATCCACACGCCTCCTGTTCTGGCTTTACATTTCTACAGTACTCTTTCAGGGCTTGCTACTTGGCACAGGAATATACGGTACATTCCTTTCCTGGAAGCTTCAACTACTGTCTCAGAACTGTTCTTGGAATTCATTTTTTTTTTACAAATCATATAAAATGGTTCAAATATCATCATATGGTTGAATAATATTTCATCTGGTAATCTGAATGTGGATATTTATTCATTTTATTTTAAAACTTTCAACATCAGGTAGAGCTTAAGGAATGTACTGAGTCAAGGACCATTCAGTTCCTCAGGATACCTGCAATTCCACTTAACCCTGGTCAGATACTATACTTCCACAGATTCAAAGGTCAACTGGTATTTCCATTTTATCAAGATGAAGCCACAGTTGTTTGCTCTCTTCCCATCCATCCCAATACTGCCTCCAGGCACCATTTAGATTGAGTGACCCCAGCAAATTATTGGGAGGAAAGAAAAAGTAGAGTTGCAGAGAATCTGCATATTGATCACACTGTGATTGAGTTCTTGGCTTCAAGCATGAAAAAGGCAAGACTCAATATAACAGGAAAGAGCTATGAGGCAGAAGAAGAGTTCACATCATTACCTGCTGAACAGTTTCCTTCAGAAAGGACAGAAGCTATTATAGTAAATCCCTCAAACTTACTGTCATGGCTGTTTCCTAGACAATACACAAGCCACTTTCTTAGCAAAAAAACCAATAAAAACATGTTTCTTTAAAGATATCTGATATTGAACTTGACAAAGGAGACCTTATATGTATATTGAACTGGACACAAGCATTTTGAAGCTTTGGAGTTAAAGATTTTTCACTAGAACAATCTGATACTACGAAAGAATCTGTCCAAACCAATGTGGGCTCTCTATTCTTAAATGCAGAAAAGTACTTTTTTTAAACAAAACAATTCCATATGTTCTTCTATGCTTTCCATTAAAGTCTTTTTCCTCTTTGCAACTGAGTTTTCAGCAACAAAGATATAAATAACTGGAAACAGTATTGTTTACTTAATATGGTGTCTTATAAAGCTGATAGGGCTATGCAAATGGTTAGAGTTGTGTATCTGGGTATATTCCAGAATAACACTTTTTATATCATTATAGCAGTGACAGCTTATCCCAGACTTGTATGCTGCTTCAGAAGTTGATCCCAGCTGTTTTTCCCTCTTTGTGTGTGCATGCATAGGTAACCTTCTGAAATACAGTCATGTGAAAAAGTACACTCCATTGAAATTTTGACTTTTTCAACATATTTCCCCATAAAAATATTTGACATTCATTTCAACAATATTGACAAGTAAGGAGATATAACAAGGAGCATGATTATTTTGCATGTTTTAGTTTAAATTTAGATGCAAATTTCACATGTGGAAAAAGTAAGTACCCTCCTATATTTATGACATCTCAAATAATTAAACTTAGGATCAGGTGCTAATGATTAGAACATTGCGACAGACAATCTGGGAGGAACTTGTTTAATTTAAAAATCTGACATTTGAGTTTGCTCTTCTTAGTGAAGTGTATGACATCACCATGCTTAGCTCAAAAGAGCTGTCTGAGACCTTCCGAAAGATTATAGATGCCTATGAATCTGGGAAGAGATTAAAAAGGTTGCCAAATAACTGGGCATAAATCATTCCACTGCCTGGAAAACCATCTACAAATGGAGATTTTAAACAGCTGGCAACTTGGCTGTCCAGAAAGTTTAGTTTTAGAACAGAATGCAAGTTGTTTAAAGAAGTATTTAAGAACCCCAACATTTCGTCACGTGACCTACAGTTTGCTTTCCCCACTATCGATGTCAAAGTGCATGATTCTACCATCAGAAAGCAGCTATGCAAATTAGATTTCTGTGGCAGATGTGCCAGCAGGAAGCCTTCGCTATCCAAAGAGACTATCAGGGAAAGACTAACGTTTGGTGGTAAAATGTTATGATGCTACATGAGGCCTGGGCAGCTCCTCACAGAATTCACTATGGATTCTTCATTGTACCAACAAGTTATTGAGGATAATGTGAAGCCAACTGCCAGAAGTTTGATGCTCAGCTGCAAGTAGATTTTGCAACATGACAATGATCCTAAACAATTCCCCAAGGAATGGCTGAAAAAAGGGAAATTGAGGTTTGTGAAATGGTCAAGTCAAAGCCCGCATCTAAATCCCATCCAGATGTTGTAGGGTGATTTGACATAGGTTGTGCATGCAGGAAACCCCTCAAATATTACACAACTGAAAAAAATTCTGCAATGAAGGAGTGGAGAAAATTACTTCTACTTTATCTCTGAGACTGGTAGACAATCGTAGTAAAAGAAACACATACTTATGGTTGGTTCTGCCAAAGAGAGTACTACCAGGTATTAAAGCCAAGATTATACTTATTTTTTTTAACAGAAGGTAACAGTGTAACTTTAATTTTTTTGCTGAATTAATGATTGCATAGTCAATTTTTCACTTTTTTTGCTCAATTAACATCACTTTTATCTTTACATACTGTTTGCAGATAACATATCAATATTTTGAAGTATGTGAAAAAAGAAGACTTTACATTGAGTGGACTTACTTTTTCATATGACTGTAGCTACATAAATCTGGAGAAAGATACTGCTGTTTTAATTTTTTTAAGAACTGCTTTACGTGTCGTCACATGAGGATTTGCCTCATTTTAATAGGCATCAGGGGTGGGTTCCTACCAGTTCTAACCTTTTCTATAGAAGAGGTTCCACAAATCTACAGTGCCTTTTAGAACCAGTTCCAGCTCCCTCCCTCCACCTGTCCACACATCATCAAGACGAAGACCGAGAGGAGTTGAAGTCCACAAGTCTTAAAGCTGTCAAGTTTGAACACCCCTGGGTTTTTTTTCCTAAAGAGCTAGGGTTGCAAGGGTCTTGTAACTTGACAGCTTTAAGACTTACGTGCTTCAAATCCCAGAGTTTCTGAGCCAACATTTTGGTTGCTAAGCAAGAGCGTTGTTAAGTGAGTTTCACCACATTTTACAAGTTGGCCACGCNCGGAACGCTGTTACCTTCCCATCAAAGGTGGTCCCTATTTTTCCACTTGCGTTTTTACATGCTTTCGAACGGCTAGGTTGGCAGAAGCTGGGACAAGTAAAGGGATCTCATTCTGTTACGCGGCACTAGGGATTCAAACCACTGAACTACTGACCTTTCTGATCAACAAGCTGAGCATCTTAGCCACTGAGCCACCGCTCAGTGTAAATGTAATAATGTAATGTAAAATAACTGTAAATTCAGGATGGTTGCCAAGTGTCTGAATTGTGGTCACATGACTGTGAGTGGAGTGGCTGTTGGAACTTTTTAATTGGATCGTAAGTACCCCCCCGGGGAGGCCCATTTTAACTTCAAATGTTGTCAGTTGAGCACTACCTGCCTGAAGGTTAAAAAAAAATCTGAAATTTGAATTGACATTTCAAAATGCAAAACCTAATTTTCATTATTTGATGTAATTGGCTATGTTGCTGAGCATGCTTATCTTTCATGAGACTGAATAGAGTTGGGAAAATTAAGATCCTACTTATGTGTTGCTGCTACTTGTCTTGCTCTTTGGTGACTATCTTCTAACTTGTGGCTCATCCAACTCTCTGAGAGATCCATTTGGGAAGATCTCATCAATGTTTTGGTAGTGGTGTTTGGATTAGGGAGGGTGTGTGTGTTGTAAAAAAACCTGAAAGCCAGATAACAATTCCTTTGGGCTGCACACAACATTGGGTTTTTTTTAACGTGTGAATGAAAATGTATTTTTACAACATACAGATGGTGGAACATTTTACCTTGTTAAATTTGAATAACATTCACGCGAAAGTATTATTGCTTGAATCCCAGCTTTTCTGACCTGAACATTGATTCTAAATGCATACACCTTACTGGGGGGGAAAGGAGAACCTTTTCATCTTTTCAAAGTAGCAATCATGGTGCAATCATAGGCAACTGACGAAAACTGTTCATTTCCACTGCTGACATATGTAGAATCTAAAAATACAAGCCCATCAGATTATAGATTTGTACTTTCTTAATTGATGGTTACATGATAACTAACTTGTCTCATATGTAATGCTAAGTTGGAAGTGGTGTAAAACTACGCAATTCACCAGTAAAATGTATAGTATAAAATGTAAACGTGAATATAGCAGTTCACTTACTTACCAAATATCTCTGAAGTGCAGAAAACACTATTCAATGCAGCAAATCTTTACCTCTATAACTACAACTGTTGCAAATAATTTGGTCAATGTACACAACTGTCGGAACTGTCACAACTTACAACCATTCGTGTAGTAACCATTTGAAGTTATAGCAGCACTGAACAAAGGAACTTATGGGCATTTCAAGATCAATTGAGGTACTAATACCACACTATAAAGCCNCACCAGGGATGGCTACAGAGGAAACTCAGTATGTTTAGTCTTGAAAAAAAGATGCCTGAGGGGGCATAATAGCAACATATTTCAGGCATTGGAAGGGTTATCACACAAAAGAAAGCCAAACCCTGTACTTTATCACCCCAGAGGGCAAAATATTGGAAGACAGGAAGTTTTGTTCCGCTGAACTTTAACAATAGCAGCAATCTTGAATGGAATAGTAGGTTCCCCTTGACTGGGGATGTCAGAGAAATCTTAATTTGGATTTCTATTCTGATTAGGGCACCAGATTCCACAATCTGAAAGGCCTTTCCCAACATATGGTCTGTTTCAGATTTCTTAGTAGATGCCTCTACAAAAATATTTATATTCTTCCCAAAACCAAGTGAGATATTTTAAGAAGCACTTACAGTCATAACTACAAGCAGCACTTTTCTCTTGAAAACAACACACCGTTCCGATGTGGTTTATAAAAAGGTTTATGAAATCATTGATGTACTTTTTGTTCTGAGGACATGAATTCTGCACACGCACGCTGACACAATCGAAACACTATAAATCGTCCCCAAACAGAATTTCATTTAAGCTCTTTGTAGAATGTCTAATATGAAGTAGGAAATGGTTTAAGAAAGAAACGAGTGATGTATGGCCAAAATCAAATAAAAGGTTTATTTTAAAGAGAAAATAAGCCATCTTGAAAGCTAATGTTTTTTTCCCCTTCCTGCTGTCCATAGGGAAAATTGTTGTGTCTTTTACATATTCAAGGGCAGTGGGGTAAAGGTTAGTAATATCTTCACATTCTTCTGGAACCATCTGTCTTCCTGGCTTACAAAGAACTAAAATAGTTACTCTATGATGTCATGTTAACTATGCATATTAAAGGAAACCTTACTAGCATCTTTGGAATTTGGACCACTGGTAAATAATTGTGATGTGAAGTGTGGTTTGGAGAAAGAACAGTGATTCAAAGGGAAACAAAACATCTGAGACATATGCTATCCACCCAAAAATATACTCAGCTCTCTTTGCTCCATTTGATTCTTTTTTTTCCTGCTTCTAATTGCATTTTTGGAAAAACTCTCTGGCTTTTTATAATTTTATTCACAAGATGATTTGTTGTAACTGTGCTTGACCAATTTTCTGCAATCTGATTAAAATAAACACTGATTCTTTTCATA